TGCCGAGGAGCCTGGGGACGGGCAGTGTCACCCAAGTGTCACCCCTGCTCTATGTGGGGGGTGGGGTGGACGCATCCAGCCTCGGCTCAGCTCCTCACCTGCCCCCACAGACGTATTTCTTGACGAGCAGGACTCCGGCCACAGCAGTGACGAGCAGCACAGCCACAACGGCCAGGATGATGGGGGTGGAGCTGGTGGATGCTGCCTGTGGGGAGAAGAGGAAGCATCCAGAGCTGGGGGGTACCAACGTGTCACCACCCCCAAACATAACCAGCACCCCGGTTTATTCTGGGCGATACTAGCCATGACGTCCGCACAGCACCCAGCGAGGCTGCAGGCAGGCAAGAGGCCCCAGGCAGGTTTAGGCAGGACAGTGCCGCTCATCACGGCAGCAGTTTAGCAGCAACCGCAGAAGATTTCTTGGCTCCAAGGGTACAGGCAGGAGATGGCCCGATGCCCAGAGCCGTCACCGTGCCTGGCTGGTGTCACCGTCACCTACCAGCTGGCTGGGGTTGAGGAAGTTGCTGGTGCATTTCTTCTTCATGTCCGTCTCCTCCCGGCTCGGACTCTCCCCTCCCGAACACTTGTCCCCGGGGATTTTCCGATACCTGGAGATGGGGAGGTGATGCCTGGTGACCCCACAGCCACTTCCCAGGGACCCACCAGCCCCGATTCCAAAGTGATGGGGCAGGATCTGTCCCCACTGGGTGCAAGGTGAAGGATTCCCCAGGGATTTGGGGTTTCCACCCTGTTCCTTCCCAACCCTGGCTCCGGCATCGACTTTCAAGCTTTACCCGCTAGTCCTGAGCAGCTCCTGTCTGCCGTAGAGGCAGAATTCCAGGTCGTGGCCCTTCAGCTCCGGCTGCTCCACACAGACAGACTGGTTCTCCGGGCGGTAGTAGCCAAAATCGCTGTGGGAAGATGGGGAAAAGCAGATGAGACCCCGCTCGGGAACCCAGCAGGAGTTGGGCTAAAGGAGGGTGACGCCTGGCCCAAAATGGGGACAGAAGGTGGGAGATGCGAAGATGGAGGTTACCAGAGGAAATCCTCCAGCGTGCAGGGACAGACGGATGGCTGCTTGGTCACCATGTAGTCCCGGCCATTCTGGCACACCGAGGACTTGCGGAGACGCCGATATTGCTCCTTGTAGCCCAGTATGCAGCCGTCACTGGGATCGCTGGGATCACTGGAGTGTGCCAACCAGATGGTGTAGTCCTTGTCCTCACCTGCGAAGGGACACAGCTCAGTGACACGGCCAAGGAGAGGACCCTGGGAGACGGCACCACCGCAGTGTTTGGGAGGACGTGGCTCCAGGAGGGGGAAGCAGCTCGGCATAAGCCATCGGCAGGACGCCGAAACCCCAACTGCTCACCCTGTCCCACACCGAGGGGCAAGAGCATCCCCCATCCCTGGCTGTCCCCATCCCTGGCTGGCCCCGTCCCTGGCTGGCCCCGTCCCTGGCTGGCCCCAGCCCCCGGCAGCTCTCACAGGTCCTGCTGAGCAGCTCGCTGAAGTCGATGGTGTAGGAGACCCACTTGCGGGAGAGGAAGTTCCCCCGGAAGCCCCAGATGCTGACGTTCATGGAGCGAGCCCCCGGCTCCGAGGCCAGGCCGGTGAAGAAGATGGGGTCCTTGGAGAAAGTGTACTTATACCAGCACTGCCCTTCATCCGTCGAGAACCTGGCACGCGAGGGGTCAATCAGCACCACCCGCAGCATCCCCCGGCCCCTCGTCTTTGCTTGGGGGCTCCCCCCGCCCCCCGTTTCCAAGCAGGGAGCCTGCGCGTACTCGATGACGTTGACGGGCTGGCTGGTGTGCTCGATGGCGACGATGAGACCGCCCGAATCCAGGATGGCGTAATGGTGCGGCCCCTCCAGCATCCGCGCCCAGGTGTAGCCCCCGTCGTCCGAGATGTAGACATCGGGGCTCATCACCGAGATGGCCCCCCCCACGCTCCCTGTGAGAGGGGGACAGCGTGAGTCGGAAGGACGGACACACGCACAGGAATACGGGCTCTGTCCCCACCACCCGCCCCAGGGAGGCTCGGTACCGTGGGCGATGACAATGCCGATGGCGTTGGGCTCGGAGAGGGGAGCCATGGGGACGTTCAGCTTCAGACATCGGGGCTCATCACCGAGATGGCCCCCCCCACGCTCCCTGTGAGAGGGGGACAGCGTGAGTCGGAAGGACGGACACACGCACAGGAATACGGGCTCTGTCCCCACCACCCGCCCCAGGGAGGCTCGGTACCGTGGGCGATGACAATGCCGATGGCGTTGGGCTCGGAGAGGGGAGCCATGGGGACGTTCAGCTTCTGAGAGATGCTGGAGGCAGGGGGGA